CCAAGCTCCTTACCGTGTTTTAAAGCTGTCAGCGCTTCCACGCACGGCAAGTACAGCGCATGCACGATGCTTTGCTGAACAGCTGAAGCATCGTGGAGGCTTGCGGAAGCGTCATTTGAAGCTACAATGCATGCGTGCATGTGGATGATGCCGGGGCCATTCCAACCATACCAGTTGGAATGGAATCCGGAAGCCACCACTAGTCTACGAATTGTCCCATCAAGATTTTACCAATAGGATAACTACCTAAGCCAAAACTTTATGCAATGATTCCCCAGGAACTGGATGAATTGTGGCAATTCAGTCAAAAACTTTAAGGTTGGGTTCATCGAACTGGTGAGACCCAAGATGGCTGTCTCCATCCTGTTCTGGGAGAAGGACAGCTCATTTTGTTTATGTGTGGATTATAGGAATTTAAATGCTATTTGCAAGGAATCTTTGTCCCCTATCCTTAATGAAGCACTTGCTGCCCATATGGTGAAGGGAATTTTTTTCCAAACTACACTTGTAGGAGGATTGTTACCTGATTAGGATCCGAGAAGGGGATGAATGGAATACAGCATTTAATTGTCCGCTAGGATGTCTCAGTCCACTAGGATGTTTTCAGCCATAGGACTCCAAGGGGCTCCTGCCATTTTCATGCAGCTAATTAATGAGGTGTTGCATGAGCATTTGTATAAGGGAGCTTGGGTTTATCATGATGATATACTGATTTATACTGAAACTAAGACTCAACATGTTAAGTTGGTGCAGGACGTTTTGAAGAAATTAAGGACAGCTAAGTTGTTTGCCAAACTCTACCCAGGGCAGAGAATCTCTCACCAGGATGTGGAAATGACCCTGCAAAAGTCAGAACAGTCTTTGACTGGGAAACCCCAGTACTCGCAAACTATTGAAGAGCTTCCTGGGCTTAGCTAACCTTTATAAGCCGTTTATCCCTTCTTTTGCCCAAATACTGTTGCTGATTATAAATCTGTTAAAAATCAAGAGGATAGATAAATAGAAACCAAGCCAACCACTGGATTTGACTTTGGACTGCCAAGCAGCATTTTAAAAGCTGAAAAAAACTCTTTTCAGCTGAACCTGTATTAAAACACCCAGACCCAGATAAACCATTTGTAATACAAGTCGATGCCAGCGATGTGGCAGTCAATACTGTTTTACTACAAGAAAATGAAGAAGGCAAATTACAACCATGTGCATACACCTCTAGGAACTTAACTGAAACTGAACAGAGATGGCAATATGGGAAAAGGAGGCTTTTGTAGTTAGTTGGGTATTCCTAACTTGGAAACATTTCTTGGAAGGAAATAAAATACCTTTCCAAATATGGACCGACCACAAGAATCTGAAAGCACTCAAAACCCCACAGAGAATGTCTCCAAAACAAGTCCAGTGGGCACAGCTTTAATTTCACTTTGAAGTATTTACGGGGTGGGAAAAACTTTTTGGCCTTGTCTAGATTATCGCAATCCAACAGTATCAAGGTGGAAGTAATTAAGTCCATGATCCCAATCTCCCAATTAGCAGCTTAGGTCATCACACATTCTCAGGTGAAGAATAACTCCTCTACCTTAGACAATGCCACCACCACAGATTTCAAAAAAAGCCTTAGAAATAGATGAGTGGTTTGGTGCCAATAAATATACTTGTATAATAAAAGTGGTTAGCTTGGGTTGGAAATAAGCTCTACCTCCCAGCTAGGGAATGGCTGAGAACTATGCAAGCTTGTCACAACTTCAAATTAGCTGGTCACTTTGGTTTTGTAAAAACATTACATTTACTGAAAAGGCAATTCTCATTTAAAAAGGACATAGAAAGTTATGTAGCAAGATGCCCCATTTGTGTAGCCACTAAATGCAGGCAGGGGAAAACCCCTGGTCTTCTGCAGCCAGTGGCCGACCCATCAGCACCATGGAGAGAGCTCTCCATGGATTTCATTGTAGAATTGCCAGAGAGTTCTGGAAACACAGTGATCTGGGTTGTCATAGATCTTTTCTCAAAAACAGATTCATTTGATCCCATGCCAAAAGATCTCTACAGATAAAGCCTTGGCTAAAGTGTTTTTGTTCCACATTTACCGCTTGCATAGGGCCCCATGATGTATTATTTTACAGAGGGGTCCAATTCGTGTTCAAGTTCTGGAAATCATTTTTTGAATCTACTTGGGACCTAGTTCTAGTCATCATCTGCAGACAAATGGGGCCATGGAACGAATGAATACAGTTCTGGAACAGTACCTGTGCTGTTTTATTCATTACCAGCAGAACAACTGGACTGAACTATTGCCTTTTGCAGAAGTAGCCTATAATAATGCAGTTCACACTAGCACAGGTTTTATCCCTTTCAGAGTGGCCACAGGCAAGAATTTAATGCTATGCCCGAGTCACCCTCACATGAGCCAGATATACCCTCCATGAAACAGTGGATCATTTATTTGCAAACCATTTGGCTGGTGGTCCACAAAGCCTTGAATAAATCCAAGGCTGCCTATAAAGCACACACAGGCAAGAAACAAACACAACCTAAACCTTATAAAGTGGGGGGCAAAGTTTACCTTTCCACCAAGTTTCTAAAATCTTTGCAGCAGTCACTGTGCTGTGTGTAATTCACTGTGGAATTATAACTCCCTAAGTCATTACAGCAAGTCCACCCTGTTTTCCATTGTAGTTTATTGAAGTCTGAAGTCACCTCTGATCTTCGTGTGGCTACTACCCCTATTTCAGTAAATATTTGAATTAGCACAAAATGGGGGTCTGGTAGAAGAAATCAAGCCCTCTGTGGCTTTTAGTTGTTGATTGGAGTATTGATGGCCAGATATTAAGTCATTGTTTGTTTTCTTATGCTGATTGTTCTGACCTAGGCTTCCTGATATAGTAAAAAGCACACATTTAGTCCCCAAAACCCTCTTTTTATTTCAAAGGCTGTGAATTATGTTCATTTGCACTCCCCAATAGTTGTAACAAGTCCTACAGTAGGCTGTCAAAGTCCTTCAGGATAAGGCTGATAAGCACCCACCTTTATTCCTGGAACTGCTGCCAAAGACTTAATTTGCAATTAGCTTGGCAAGGCCACATGCAGCAAAGAGTCAGAACGGAGCTTCAGAAGGTAAACTGACCAATGTGAACTAAGTTGCTTCCTGCAAAGGCTCATGTGTTTTTGCTCCTCCTTTTATGTCCTATGGGAGGGGCCAACCACCTCTAAGCCTTACTCCTGAGTTGTCCCTTCTGTCTTAACTGTTCATGCATGCACTGGGAACTGGAAGAGTCTGTTCCTCTGCCTTGCTGCTCTCCGACTCTGGAGGCTCCGGAGGCAGCACATAACTCTCAGATGGCCCTGGCCCCCTCTCTGCCTCTGATGCAGAGCTCCTGTCTGAGCCTTCCCCACACTTCAGGACTGACCCATGTTCCTCTCCAACCTCCTCCACAGGTTGCCGGACCACAACACTGAGGCATCCTCAGCTCCTAAGTACCTGGCAAGCTGGTGGTAAATCAGCACTCTAACTGACTGACAAGGGGGCTGTTCCCAGAGTTCAATAATTCCTCTGGCTATTTTTGTCCTTGCTTGGCCAACAATCTTAGTAGCTGCAAAATTGAAATGCATGCCTTTATTTACTGCAATGTGAGACTACCAGTGAGTTTGGGTCTCCTTATTTAACTGCTCACATTCTTGTATTCTGGTGATTTGCTTCCCCCTCATTTGTCCTACATAGTCACAGGGACAATCCATGTATGGAATCTGGTAAATTACATTAGAAATTTCCCCCACCTCCCCCACAGTATTTCTACCACATGATTTAACCTTATATGGTAGCCTCTGGGCAGTGGACAATGCCTACTTGCAGATTTCAGAAGCTGCATTCTACTGCTTCTGAAATGTTTTTCATTGTGGCAGGCTATACCTTCTTTCTTGTACCTTTCTCTCCCCAGCATGTTGCTCAGGCATCTTGTGATAAATGCTTGTGAATACCCATTCAGCCTAAAATATCCATTTAGGTAGGTATCAGTTGTTTTGTTTGCTGGGTACTACAGTGGATTTCACCCTCCCATATAGTGTTCTGGTGCAACTCTTTTTATATGTGGACAGTGGGTGGTTATTATTGAAACAAAGAATGCATGGAGTGTTGATAGCCTTGCAATATATTATGGTTTCTCGGCTTCCATCTTCCTGTATTTTGAAAGCATATCTAAAAAATGGCAATAGTCTAACCATTGTTTTCCTCCACTGTGAATTGTTTATCCAGGAAAATGGAATTCAGTAAGGTATGAAAGTCTTTGAGCATATTTCTTTTGATGATGACAAAGATGTCATTCATGCCAAATTTTAGGTCTGCAATTATGAAATGCACAGTGTTCTACTTCGGATAAGACTGACTCTTCAGTGACTCCTGATACTGCGGATGATCCCATGGGCATCCCTTTTAATTGCTCATATATTTCTCTTTTAAATGTGAAGAAGGTATGGTGGTAGTACTACCATGTTTCCCAGAAAATAAGTCCCAATCATGGATTTCCCTGTCACTATGTAGGACAAAAGGAGAAGAAGCTAACCTTCTTTTATTGCAAAGATTACAAGAACACAAGTGAATGGTTAGACAAGAAGACCCGAACTCATGGGTAGCCTCACACTGCAATGAACAAGGGCATGCATTTCAATTTGGAAGAACAAATCTCTAGTCCCAGTAACGGATTCAGATTGGATCCTGTCTCATATTCATGACACTTGCAGTGATCCCATGTCATGGAATCACTTTTTGCAGCCTTCTGATAAGCAAAGTCAGTAGGGAAGCCAGAGTCAACTTAACAATTGCAGTGATTCATTAAAACAAGTATGGCAAGAAAAGTCATAAAAGGGGGCAAAGGTCATTTTAAAATGTGTTGCTTTAAAATAGAAATTTTGGGCTTTGCATAAGCTGCATGAAAAAATATTCAACTTAGATAACATGACTACTGTAATTGTACCCTAAGTAAATCATTATTGGTTATCTGTTTAATACTTACCCAGCTGACTATCAAAAAGGCAGCATAATAGGATGTCATCAACATAGAATTTCCAAACATAAAGACAAAGCATACAGCAAGTGATACCTGATGTGACATGATTAAAGATGTTAATTAAGATTACAGAGGCATGACAAATTTGTAGAGTATCTACACTACAAGATATTTAAAAACAGTGTATAAAATGCTATCTTTAAAATGTTTAAAATAATATATCATTTTGACAAAATATTCAGAAATATAAATTACTCTTGATAATTGAGATTTTTTCTAGCTTTATATCATTGATGACATTTCAGGTTTCAATTTAAAAATAAATTAACAACCATGTTTGTTTGTTTTTAAAAACAGCAACTAAATAACTCTTGACACTGGATTGTAAGCACTTAAAAGATATTGGGGAGAGAAAGAAAAATGAGCATTAATCATAATTGAATTATTAATCCTCACTGAATCATTGAATCAACAGACACTATTTCAGTGACTGTTGATTCAATGATTCAATGAGGATTAATGATTCAATGAGGATTAATGCTCATTTCTCTCTCTCTCCCCCATCATCCATTTTTTATTGTTTCAGTGACTGTTCAAATTTACAAAGGTGCTTGAATGAGGAGAACCTAGGAGAGGTACTCATAGTTGATACCATTGAATTGTAATTTGGGTGCTTGCAATCAGCATGCAACTATGTTGCAGTATCCTGTAATCACCTGATCACCATTTGTGAACATCACTGTTGCTTCTTACAAATAAAATACAAGGGAATCAAGAAGCAGTGACAACTGTCACAACTTATGAGTGTAATTGCAGGTTCCATTGTGGTCATAAATTAGGGACTACCTATATTAATAAAATCTTGCAAGCCAGAGTGACCCTTATCTTCCCTTGTTTTATTCCAATAGGTAAGGGAGAAGCCTGCCTGAGTCTCTTCTGAATGCTATTCTGATTTACAGGAATTAAAGAATGTTTTAGCCCTCTTTGATTAAGTAACAATTCTTGTATATTTCTGTCAGAATACCTCTCTTATATTTAATGTTACCTTAAAAAGTGAGATAACATTTTGTTATTAATAAAAACAACAACTTAACATTCTTTTGAGAATAATCATAAGTACAAACAGAATGGGTGTTGGTCCTTACCTGATACGCTCATTCTCTGTGACGTAGAGACAGCAGCCAGACTGGGTTGCTCTGTCCAGTAACCAATTGGACTGAGTCTATACTAGTGATGTCATCTGGTGACTCCTCCCAGATTAGATGAAGTAGACTATAGACTCAAGTGAGAATTATGAAACAAAAATAACTCTGCAAAGCAAACTCTCTCTCCTCACAAAAAATAAAGCGCAACTTAAAGCACATTAGGGTGGGGCTGGCTGCTGTCTCAACGTCACAGAGAATGAGCGTATCAGGTAAGGACCAACGCCCATTCTCATATGATCGTGGAGAAAGCAGCCAGACTGGGACATACCAAAGAATGGGCTGTCTACAGGGTGGGAACAATAGAGTAAGGATTGCTAGGGGCGCATGTACTTGCTGCAGCACTCTGCAGCCAAAACATGTATCAGCCGTCGCATACTTGTCTAGTTTGTAGTGACGGATAAAAACCGTGGGAGATGTCCAAGTGGCTGCCCGACAAACCTCTTCCAAGGAAGCCTGTGTAGACCATGCTGTCATAGTTGCCGCACTCCAAGTAGAATGGACTGTAATGTTCTGTGGGATCTGTAAGGACTGAAATTCATAAGACATCTTCATACAGGCCCTGAGCCACAGCCCAAGACTCGACGGGGAGGCCTTGTTTCCTAGGATCAGGAAACCATTGACAGCAATTTCAATGATATGGACCTCATTGGTTCAAATGGGGGGAGGGAAGAGCCCTCAGGGCCTGTAGTAAATCCCAAGTGGAGTATCTATGGATGACAGGAAATCGGAGGTTTGAGGCCCCGTGGATGAATCTCCGGACCAAGAGGTGCGCGGAAAGATGTTCTGAGGGAGAGCCGTCTAGAACGGAAGACAAAGCAGCCATGTGTTGCAGTAAAGTGTTTGGAGTGAGATCCTGATCAAGTCCCCTCTGCAAGAAGTCCAGTACTTGAGAGATGGAGGTCTTTAGTGGAGTAGTAGAGATGTTAGAGCAGCAGAGAGTAAACGCTCGCCAGTGACATCATAAATACGGTTCATGGAACTCCTACGAGACGCCTGGATAGTAGCGATGACGTTGGGGGAGATGTTATCAGCTGTTAAAGCTTGCCACTCAATCACCATGTGGTTAATTGCAGCCACGGGGGGTCGGGATGTAAGATTGACCCCTGATGAAGAGAGGCTAGTGACTGGAATGCGCCATGCGGGGGGGAGACCGATAGTGTTACGAGGTCGGCAAACCAAGGCCGGCGTGGCCAGGAGTAAGAGTTCTGCCTCCTGTTCCAATATCTTCTGTACTACCCTCTAGATGAGTCAATCACCATGTGGTTAATTGCAGCCACGGGGGGTCAGGATGTAAGATTGACCCCTGATGAAGAGAGGCTAGTGACTGGAATGCGCCATGCGGGGGGGAGACCGATAGTGTTACGAGGTCGGCAAACCAAGGCCGGCGTGGCCAGGAGTAAGAGTTCTGCCTCCTGTTCCAATATCTTCTGTACTACCCTCTAGATGAGAGGAAATGGAGGGAATGCATATAGGAGACCCCTGGGCCACTGGCACCTGAAAGCATTGGGATCCTTCTGCATTGGGATCCGCAAACCTTGAAAAGTACCTGGGGACTTTGATGTTGTCTGCTGCCACAAACAGATCTAGCACTGGCAGTGATCACGAATTGGAGCGTGAGTCGGTGGAAGAGATCTGGGTGAACACTCCAATCTGTCTGATCTGTTCTGGCTCAACTCAGCCAGTCTGCCTGGACATTGGAGGCCCCCGAGATGTGCTCTGCCCTGAGGAAAAGTAGATGAGATTCCGCCCAATTGCATAACCAGTTGGCTTCCTGCATTAGCGGCCAGGATTGTGTCCCCCCACCCCATCTGTTTATGTGTGCCTTGGCAGTGGTGTTATCGGTTAGGACTAGGATGTGATTGTCCTGAACTGTCTGTCGGAAGCGAATCAGGGCAAGGAGTACCGCCCTTAGCTTTAGTCAACTGATGCTGTTTTGGCTTTCTTCTAATGACCACTGACCCTGGACCACCAGGTTCTGCATATGCACTCCCCACCCTGTCAGGCTGGCATCCGTCGTAAGTGTGAGACGGGCTGGCTCACTGAATAACATCCCCAGCAAAATCGCTGGGGGCTGCCACCACTGTAGAGACTGGGTGACCTGCCTGGGGAGGAGGGTCCTGTGGGGGGAGCAGCTCCTGTTGCTTTTCTGGTGCAGGAGCATGAACCACTGCAGGCACCTGCTGTGGAACCTGGCCCACGGGACTACCCCAAAAGATGACACCATTTTCCCCAATAACTGGGATAGAAGAAGGAGAGACACTTTGCGTAGACGCATGACTCTCCTGACTAACTCCCTGAGGCTGAGGTTACGATCTTGGGACAGGAATACTCTCTCTGCCACGGTGTTTATGACAACTCTGAGATGTAGAATGCGAGTCCTGGGGACGAGGTAACTCTTCTTGAGAGTCATTCAAACCTGTGATCCTACAGGGTCTGGATTGTTTGGGAAAGATTCCTCTCTGCCTGCTGGGGCGACCTGGACAACAAGAGAATATCATCCAAGTAGCAAAGAATTCTGATGGGCGATGACCTGATGTGGGTGGCTAGAGCCGCCAGCACCTTCATGAAGACCCTGGGAGCGGAGGAGGGACCGAACGGGATGGCTCAGGAACTGGAAGTGCCTCCCCCCACAGGAGAACTGGAGATATCTATGGTGGTCTGCAAAAATGGGAATGTGAAGATAAGCCTCGGTCAAGTGTACCAAGGTGAGATAATCGCCCTTTCTGACTCCCTGTAGGATGGTGTGGAGGGAGTGCATTTTGAACAGCTGATAAATGATGTGGCGGTTCAATGACTTTAGGTCCAGGCTCACTCTCCAGCCCCCAGAAGCCTTTGGTATCACAAAGAGGCGGGAATAAAAGCCCTGACCCCTCTGATGGGGAGGGACCGGTTGGATGGCCCAAATCTCTAGCAGGTGTTGGATGGCCTGATCCATCAGTAGCCTCTTGCGAGGGCACTCGGTTATCAGGCAAGGCACAAAGTGTTCCTAGGGGGTGTAGAGGAATTCCAAATGAAGACCGAATATGACTGTTTTGAGTACCCAATTGTCTTCCCAACAGTGGGCAAAAAACGCTAGGCGGCCCCCTATTGGAAGAGAGTACAGATAGTCACTTTCGTTTTGAGAAATGGTGGCTACTTCCTCCCCGGTAAGACTTCTTTGGGGGAAATGTTGGGCGGTACGATTGGACCTGTCCTGATTGGATCCCTGTCTGGGGATGAATGAATGATGTTGTGGATGGGAGAAAGAAGATCCCCCATCTGTTGGCCGAAAGGACGACCTTCTATAGAAAGTAGAAGGGCGGCTGTCCTGTTTTTTGTAAATAGAAGACAGGACCTTGCACTTATCCTTAGACTCAGTAAGGTAAGGATCCAAGGGAGTTCCAAAGAGCTGAGTGCCACTGAAAGGGGAGGCTGCGAGGTGCCACTTAGTACAGACATTTGCCTGCCATAGTTTGAGCCATAGCAGGCACCTGGCTGTGACTGAAGCGGCCATGGCTTTAGAAGCAAACCTTGCAACGTTTAAAGAAGCATCAGCTGAATATTCAATGGCAGCCCTAATCTTATTCAGATCCCTGTGTGACCTGGTATCAGTGGAAGCAAAGTGCTCCTGGAATTGTTCAATCCAGACTAGCGCAGCCCTGGAGAAAAAGGAAGTGGTTGTGGAGGTCCTAACTGCCAGGCACCAGCCTGATAATCTTTGACTAACATTTGATCTGACCTTTTCTCCTCAGGCTTGAGGACTTCTTTGGGGGCTCCAGAGACTACAGTGGGCGAAGACAAGGCCTCCACCAGTGCGTCCACTGGAGGAGTCTCAAGGAATTTGGTAAGTTCGGAGCGATATTGTAGAGACGTTTGACTAGGTTGGTTGGTTGTGGACCTGTACCAGGGGAATCCCAATGTCGTTGGACAACATTCATGAAGATCTTTGGAGACAGAATGATTTCTTTTTCCACTGTAGGTACAGAGAAAAGAGTGTTAAGGCGATCAGAGGAAGCGGGCACAGCATTCTGATCCTGGGAAGAAGAAGCTGAAGAAGAAGATAAATTAGCAGCTTTCATTGCTTTGAACTGGAGGGATTTAAAGCGATCAGTCTTGAATAATTCAGCAAAGGCCGGGGCATCTAGCATGACCCCCTCGTCATCAGATAGATTAAAGTCTCTGAGGGTATCCTGATCCCCAAAGATGGAAGCCTGAATGGTAGAAGCAGAAGGAAGGGGTTGTTGGGTATCCCCAGTGATCTATGTCTGTTTCTGTGAGATGGGCCAGGAGGGGGGCACTGCTGGAGCCCAGCAGCAATGCCTTGTTTTATGGCTTCTGAAATTATGGCTGCCATTTCTGTAGGGAGGATAGAGAGGCCTGAGGCACCCATGAGTATTGAACTGGAGGGTGACTGGCCTGTTCAAAACTATGATCCCTATTGAGAGGGACATCAAAGAAATTTCCCCGGTATCAGGTTCTATGGAGGAAGATAAGAGGAAGAGGGCAGCTCCTCATCTGAATCATCCAATGATGGGCAGGGGCCCATGGGTGACAACTCGGGAGGCCCCAGTGAGGTAGCTTGATCCCCTATGGGAGGGGGAGGAGAGGCCTAGATGGTTTGGCTCATCTCTTTCTGGGCCCGCTGGCACTCTTTCTCTGGGGCAGGTTGTCTTCGTTCCTCCCCCTTAGCAGAGGACTTGGAATATATGGAGGCCTTCTCAGGAACAGGGGTCTCCTTAGCCGCTCTCTTGTGGCTGCTCCTCACCCCCCGATGGTCCTGCCCCCTACAGATCTTTGTCGGGAATAGCTCCCGATACTGGAAGGTCAGCCTGGTTAAACTATCTCCCGGTTAGGAAAAGGAACGATCTCACCCCAGTAAGTCCACAAATGCAGGTGCTGCATCCCGAAGCAGTTTGTGTGCTCCCCCAACGACTTCACAATGGCGAGTGGTGAAGAAATCTGCTGCTGCTTTTTCGCATGCTTTTTGTGGGCCGCAAGATGGCAGCCATTGATTTCACGCACTTTTCCTCCTCCTACAGGGCTCCAAAATGGCGGCTGTCTTTTCCGACACCGTCCGGAGCGCTAAGATGGCAATCCACGAGGCTCATGAGGCAGCAGTCCCTCTAAACGGCCAGGAGAAGCAGAGCACACCGATTGGAGAGCTGTAGCTCGTGAGCTCAATAGCCAGCGCCGTGCTGGCTAAGGTTGGAGCGAACTCGTGGTCGCGAGGCAAGCAGGCAAGCAAGTTGAAGCCCAAAGGCAATTTTGAATCTCCCCCTCAATTTGAGTAGGAGAAAAAAAATGGAAATAATCCCAATCAAAAAATTTTAAATTTAGAAAAATGCCAATGAGAAAAAAGTACAATTTAGATCAATTTCGAGAGGAGAGAGGAATTCTCACAGCTAGTCCAGGTTGGACTGAGTCTAAACTGGGAGGAGTCACCAGGGCTAGATGACATCACAAGTGTAGACTCAGTCCAATTGGTTACTGGACAGAGCAACCCAGTCTGGCTGCTTTTCTCCACGATCATAGGAGAAACTGGTTTTACCAAAGAATATTGTTAAAAATATAAAGGAAATATTACCATATGTGCATAGATTATCTTCTGTAGTTTGGCTGAATCAATAAATCCCAAAATGTATATACCAAAAACAGATGCTACCTGCAATTGAAAAAATATAGTGCATTTTACCTAAAATATTTTAAAGAAAGGTATCAAAGATCCAAATTATTCATCTTGTGAAAATGAACTGAAAAAATGGAAAGAGAAAATGAATTTTAAACAGTTTTATCATATAAACTACAGATAACAGTTTAAATTTATAATTGGAGTACAAGTACTACAATTTAATTGACTAATTTCATAATTTACAGTACAATATCTAATTTTTGATATAGTGTGAATTTCCACCTGTTTCCCCAAATTTCCATCTGTTTTCCAACAAGTGAACTCTTATTCCCAGAATTCCTAACAATGGTCATAGGTAGGGAATTTTCAGGATCAGAACGGGTTGCTTCAGAGCAATATTTACAGACCTATACAGACTTAAACAACTAATAGTTCCATTGTATATATCTTAACTGTCACCAGGACATGATTATTGACATTTCATCATGCAAAACAAAAAAATCTAAGATGTTTGGCTTTCTGCTCCATACGCTCTATAATTTTTCCAAAAGTAGTGAAATGGAAGACCATTTCTACAGAACAACGAATGTATTCTTTTCATATCTGATGTCAAGGTCATTTTATCTATATTATGGGAGCAAGCCCTAACTACTAAAGATATTTAAAGAAGAGATATATCAACTGCATCCAATAGGATGACAATGGTTGTATTAGAATGGGTGGACTTTCAGCCCCGATAGGATTTACACACATGCATTTGAAAAGAAATTGAAAAAGATAGGGCCAACATACAAGCTCTATAAACGCATAGATTCACTCTATGCCTTTATAACTATAATATTGGATCATTGAGAACAACGGATTCTAGAAACTATATTAAATTTATGCAAAGTTGTTCTTATACTTCATGATTAGAAATAGTAGACATTTTTAATAATTTAATAATTTTAATAAAGCTGGATTCCAGCTTGCTCCACTATTAAGATACTGTATTGCATCAAGCAGCCAGTCACTTTTAGACTTTGTTTACAATGCTCACCATAATAAGTGAGCAAAAGTTAATATTTGGGGGGAGGGGGGAGTCATCTTTTTTTAAAAACTGAGGATGCCAATGGTTTTAAACCAAACAGGTAGTATTTGAATTATGCAATTGATATGTCTGCATTGGTCTGCAAAAGTTCGATCTTTCACAGCAGCCTTCCCTATTTTTAGTAGAAATGTAAGTTTAGTGTTATCGGATAAAGTCACAAAATTCCACTTTTGTATATTTTGGGGAGGTGGGAACGCAATTGATACTACCAAAATGGGCTTGAAAATGCTCAAGACATGCTTTGAGGGAGATGTATCCTGAAAAACCTGTTGGTCCAGAGGAAATTCCTAGGAAAGGCAGATGAGACAAATATTACTGCAGTATGTTTATCGGTGGTAATCTGGACAAATTGACTGTTGGTTTTCCTGAACAGTCGTTCTCTGGGTGCTGCGGGAGAGTTCAAGCATGGGTTAAATACAGTCTATCTGCCCAAAGACTGAGTAGATTTTTCTTTAGCCACACCTCCTTTGCCTCATTGAGGGCAGTTTAAAAATGAAGATTAAGCCTCTGCAGGACGCTTCTCCCGGTGTGTCCCCAACCTTGATGCATAATTTTGGACACTGTCAGAAACCCTGGACTTTTCCGCAGCGCCGAGAACCACCGTTCAGGTAAGCCAACGGTCATTCTCCTGTGCGCTGCTTGGAGAGTCCAAGCATGGGACATACCCAAGCTATTGTGTCCCAGGGAGGGAAGAGTTCATGTCCTGATTGTCTGGAGCCAAGGCAACCTGTTACAAAATAAGTCTTCCAAAGGAGGCTTTGGCTGAGGCAAAGGTATTGATTTTATAGTTTCTGATGAAGGCTGTGGGAGACGCCCACGTAGCCGCTCTGCAAATGTCAATGATGGAAGCTTGGGTCACCCAGGTCGCTGTAGTGGCTGCGCTCCTTGTAGAGTGTGCTGACACTCAACCCAGTACGGCCCTGCCGTGGTGTTCATAAGTTATTTTTATACAGGCCTGTAGCCAACGTTTGATGGTGGAGGAAGAGGTCCTGCGGCCTAGTGACCCAGGCTGAAATGACACAAAAAAAAGACTCAGAGCGTCTGAATTCCTTGGTCCTTTTGACCTATATGTGAACCTCTCTTCAGCTTGTGCCAAGAAAGTTCTTTAGGGTGTTTAGGTCTAGGGCAAAAATTCGGGAGGATCACCTCCTGTACCCTGTGAAAGTGTGTTCACTTTTGGTACAAAAGAAGGGTCGAGTCAGAGAATAACTCGGTCATCATGCATTATACACAGTTTCTCCCTGACCGAGAGAGCCGCAATCTCTGACACCCTCCTAGCAGATGTAATTGCTATTAAGAAGGCAGTTTTAAGAGTTAAGTGGCAAATGTCCAACCCCTCTTGAAGGAAGTCCAAAATATTGGGTATGGATGAAGATACATCCACAACACCATGGCCCTTGTACCAGGTGGAGAATGTGGCCCAGGTCGTGTTGTATATACATGTCATGGATAGCCTTCTGGACGCTTGAATGGTCTGGATGACCCTATCGGAAAGATGTTGTTTCCTCAGGAGCTCCCCCTCAAGTGCCAGATGGCCAACTGGAGCTACTGAGGGTCCAGGTGACTGATGGCCCCCTGGCTGAGGGAGATCTGCTCCTGAGGAATCCTCCATGGCCTCTGGAGGGAGAGATTGGCCAGATCTGCGCACCAGGACCTCTAGTGTGGAGCCACTAGTATAACTAGTATAACTTCCGCCTCCTCCATCAGGATCTTGGCGATTACTTGCAGAATAAGCGGCAGGAACGGGAATGCATATAGAAGGCCTGGGAGCCACTTGGCGAGTGGTAACATGACAAAAAATCTCGGCAGTTGCATGTTGACTTGAGTGGCAAACAGGTCGACTTGTGGTTGGCCAAACCTCTGCACTATCTGTCTGTCTGGGTGTAGATGCCACTTGGAGTTGTCGATCATCTGTCAACTCAGCCAGTCTGCTCTTATGTTGCTTGAGCCAGATATAAGATCCGCTCTGATTGATGCTAAGTGCCTTTCCACTCAGCGACTCAGGGTCTCCACCTCTGCCATGAGCCTCTTGGAGTGGGTGCCGTTCTGCCGGTTTATGTGGGCCTTTGTTGCAATGTTGTCTGTGAGTAACAGTACATGGTAGCCCACCACTTGTGTTGAAAAGCAACGTAGTGCAAGTCTGGTTCTCCTCCCTAGGCCGAGGCCTAGCTGGACCAGGACCACCCCTGTGCCTCTCTGAGCTGGGTCTCTCCTCAGCAGGGAAGAGACCCTGGAAGGACTCCAGCTCCTCTCTGATAGAGAAGCTAGGGGAATTGGGGTAACCCCAGGATGCCTCTGGGGAATCACCCCCAGATCTTTCATCTAGCAAAGAAGGGCACTTGCTGCCCTGGAAGGGATGGGAGTCTTACATTTCCCCATGCCAGGTGGGCAAGCCCGTCTCGTGGCCCACAGGCACTGGAGATAATGCCCGGGGAGATGGCCTGGGAGATAACCTCCCTCATCTCGGCTGATAGAGCCGGGCTTTGTCTTCTGCAGGCCTGGACCTGGAAGAAGGCAGGAGACGCTTACGCCTAACAGGGGCTGAGGAGTCCTCCTCAGGTAAAATGCACTGAAAAGGCTCCAATATCTCACTCATAGAAGAACTGGGGGAATCCGGGTATCCCAAGGAGGCAGCAGGAGATCCAATTTGGGGCTCCCTATCATACAGGAATGGAAATTGATCCTCCTGGTATGAGGAGACTTCCCCCTCCTCAGATCTGGATGGAGGTGAGTCTGGAGCATTGTCACTCTCATGAGGCAAGGCTTGCCCTTGGGCCTGTCAGAATCCTGTTTTCTGGGGCCCTTACCCCTGATGAACAATGGATGGATTTTCCTCCCAGTGCCCTTCTGCCCTTTCCCCCCTTGGTTTGGGGGATCTGGCCTACTGTGCTTTGAAGAGGGCCCTGCAGCTTCTCCCGTGTCCACAAACCTTCATCTGCCATAGTCAATGTAAGTGGTTGAATTGTTGGCTTGTGAGGCAAAGCTGCAGTAGTGAAAGACAACTGACGCTGGCCGGCTGGCTTTGTAGCATCTGCAGATCTGCTTGATAGCTGGAGGCTGGCTAGTCGGCCAGGACACTCCAATGCCACCTTCCTGCTACAGGAAGAGTCCTCTGGAGGGGGAGGGAGGCCCTGCCGGAGCTCCGGGCAAAACCAAGCACTCCCCTGTGGCTATCTGCGTTAAGGTTGTAAAGCGTGATTTCCAGGAGTCTGCTTCTGCCGGAATCGAAAGGAAGGGCGATTTGGCCTCGCAGGGCTCTCTGGAGGCTCATGATGCTGTCACATAGTCAGAAACGCACAGAACCTTACTGTCGTTTCCGCACCCGCCAGCAGCCGCCGGACAAGTGGTCTCTGATATCCCGACTGCTGCGTGCAACCAGCAGCAGGTCGAGTTGCTGACAGTCACATCAGCAACCTCTTAAAGGAAACCAAACTTCAAGTAAGGTTCTAACCCTACTCTAACTGAATAACTACACTAAGAAAAATAAAAAATCCTAAATCTACTGTGAATTGCTTGGAGAATTCCAGTCTATCTGTCAAGGACTGAAGAGCTCCCCAAAATTAGTCCTAATGGGTGGACTGAGTTTTTAAACTGTCCTTAATGAGGCAAAGGAGGCATGGCTAAAAAAAAAATCTACTCAGTCCTTGGGCAGATAGACTGTATTTAACCCATGCTTGACTCTCCAAGCAGCGCACAGGAGAATTTCCCAATTTGTCATTTAGACTTTTTTCTTTTCAGAAGGAGCCTATGTAACTTTTTCATGGTCAAATCAAAAACTATTATTGTTCTTAGGCGTTAAATGTATAATGTGTATTCTATTCTTCTTTTAACAGTTATTTGAGACAACAAATATACATAATGATAAAATAAAGGTAAAGGCAGTTCTAATCTCTGTTTCTTAGTCGAGGGAACCAGCATTTCCAAAGACATTTCCATGGCCATGTGGCCAACATGACTATATGCCAAGGTACATGGAATGCTGTTACCTTATCACCAAAGTCATATCTATTTATCTACTCACATTTGCATGCTTTTGATCTGCTAGATGGGCAAGAGCTGGGGTAAATAGCAGAAGCTCACCTTGTCATGGCACCAGGTCTTGAACCTGTGCTGTAAATTTTCCAACTGAAAGCTCAGTGGCTTTAAATGTTGAACCATTGTACTGCTGATAAAGGGGTATGCAAAATTCTAATAATATTTATTGATATTATGTTACCTGTGTTAAAAGAACAAACTGAGCAAACTGCCATGGAAGCATGAATAGAACATTAGAAACAGATAGTGCAATCAAGCTTCTTCTATTAACATTCTGCGTCCTTGAGGAAAAGAATAAGAGATTCATTAACAATAATGGCTCTATTAATGTACCCAAATAACAATAGTTTTTTTTCCCAACAGACTTGAACTCTGGTTAAGCTTCAAAACATTGTATAGAAAAATTCTTAAAATAGATATCTAATACCATAAAATTAAACAAAAAAAGGACCTTTCACTCACACCTTTTATTTATGTGTAATATAATTAATAATTACATAATAATAATTGGATAAAAATCCCAAATCCAGTCTAAGCAACTGGCTGACTTTGCAAAAAACATAATCATTATAAAAACTTTGGGTCAACACAGATTTGTTTTAAAATCCCATAACTTTCTTTTAATGTTAGTCTGATCTTCATTTCCCCACTTCCTCTGATAGGAAATCTTTTATTATTTTTCCTTTTTATCCGAAGTAAAAGTAAGTTTGACACAAATTCTTACTACATTTAGATGTACACAGGATCATCCTAATCATTCCTCATGAAGGAGAAATGATAACAGGAAAAAGAAAAAAACAGACAGAAAAGTTGGTATTTAGTCACATGTAAACTTTCATTTTTTTTTCCAGTAGAAGGAATAGGTTCTCTATGGACAAATTACAAATTAGGTTTCTAGTCTTTCCCAATCTGGTGGTGCCCCAACATTTTGAATTATCTCTCTTGTCCTATCATCTTTGTTTGAGGATGAAGGAAGGACACTACATTGAAGAGACTAGAAAAGACAATACATAATAATGGCTGTAATAGGAAGGTGCAGCTAAATATGAATTCAGAGCACCTTCCTGCTTTTGTATACCATTACATGTATGTACCATAAATTAAAGCAAATTATTTACATAGCAGTAATACATCTTATAACTTATGACTGTATAAATCAGTATCATATCTGAAGATTTTGTTTCCATATTTAAGAATGGAAAAGAATGGAAATTACCTGAGAATGTATGTTAATAGTAACATCTGAACCACAAGGAAGGGATAAGAAAAGCTTTCACGGAGAGGAGGAGTCCACATCACACGAGTACTCTGAAAATAAAAATTCAGGTAATTTGTTTCATATTTATTTCATATGCTCTTTTTTTCTTCATCAATCTTTGGAAAATATATTTATCGGGGTTTTGAATTGCAGTTATGGATTTTGTTTAAAAAAAAGATTCAAAAATAGTCCATAATGTAAGAAAATTTGTCCATAATGTAAGAAAAATTGTCCATATTATAAGAAAAATATATTGTAATTTTATTTTACAGGTGAATATTGCAGCTATTTTTCTTCTATTTTCCCGAACTAGTCCTTCTAGTCTAAATTGGGAACATAACTTCAAAAGAAAACTAAGATTAATTATAGCTAATAAGGGCCATGGCAATTAAAATTATACATATATGAATACATATACGTATACATACATATTCATACTTACATTATAAGTAGGTGGAGACGAAACAGTGTACAGGGAGGAGATTAAAAAACTATCCACATGGTGCTTAAAAAACAACCTGCACTTGAACATCAGCAAAACCAAGGAGATGATGTTGGACTTAGAGGAAGAGAGAGGAACCTGCCCCACTTTACATTAAGGGGGGCTGTGTAGAGAGAGTCTCTTCCTTTAAATTCCTGGGAGTATATCTCAGCAAAGACCTCACCTGGAAAAACAACATGATCCAGGTGGCCAGGAAGGCCCAACAGAGACTCAACTTCCTTAGCTTGTTTGTTTCAAATAACTGATATATGCAAATGTCCTCATGAATACTTCTGAAAAAAGAATTCATGTGAATTTACAACAATAATTAATTGTATTGTTTAAAATGAAAAAAAAATCTGTAAGAGATTCAAGGATGAAGAGTCCTGAATATGGGGCAGACTATTGTTTTTTTAAATATTAACAGTGAATCTTGAGGAAAGAATAAGAATAGAGCTGGAAGGGACCATGGAGGTTTTCTAATCCAGCCCCCTGCTCAAGCAGGAGATCCTATACCATTTTAGACAAGTGACTATTCTTTCTCTTCTTAAAAACTTTCAGTCACAAAGCACCTATAATGTCTAAATACAAGCTGTTCCACTAGTCAATTGTCCTCACTGTTAGAAGTTTCTCCTGAATTCCAGGTTGCTTCTCTCCTTGGTTAGTTTCCATCCATTGTTTCTTGTCCTGCCCTCCAATGCTTTGGAAATGTTCTTCTTTTGGGAGGTTCTTGAATACTGGAATACTACTACTATGTTCCCCCCTAGTCCTTCTTTTCTTTAGCTAGTCAAACCCGAATCCTCCAACCATTCTTCATATGTTTTAGCCTCCAGGCCTTTAATCATCCTAGTTGCTCTTCTTTGCACTTTCTCCAAAATCTGAACATCTTTTTTGTAATTTGGTGACCGAAACTGGATGCAGTATTCCGGATGTGGTCTAACCAAGGCTTTATAAAGTTGGGATTTCTTATTTTGCTCATTGATTTTCAGAGTGGCTAGAGTTGCCTCTAAACACTTTACTTTTTCTTCTAGTAATTCAAATAGTTTACATTTAATACATATATAGTTTGGGTCTTTTGTGGGCATAAGCTGAAACATATGGTACACTTTGCAAGTATGCACTAAATGTCTGTCTCTTTTTCTGTGTTTTTTAAAAGATAATTCCTCTTAGGTCATTAAGAATTTTAAAATTTCTAAAGAATTAATATGAATAAACTGTTTTTAAAAATATTTAGTTGAAAAAAGAGACTGAAAAATGGGGAAAAAATTATAAAAAGATTGAAAAAGAATCTAAAAAATGAAACAAAGAATTTTATTAAAATGTTGAAAAAAGAATTGAAAAATTGAAAAAGATTTAAACATTGAAAAAAGAATTGTAATTTAAAAATATATTTAAGAGTTGAAAAAAGATTAAAATTGAAACAAGGAATTTAAAAATTGAAAAAAGACTTTTTAAAAAAAATTGAAAAGGATTTTTTTCTTAAGAAAAGGGAATTCAGAGATTTTAAAAATGTAAGAGTTTTTGGCCCTTTATGAAGTGTTATGCACTTTTTTTGTTAGAAGTCTCAGATTAGTTTCTAGGAGATGCTTTGGTCTTAACCCTGTACTAAACTTGAAAGTTAGGAACATGGCTGTTGGCTGAATCTGGCTTCCTATTGACTTTGTTTTTGAGAGGGTCCCAAAAGGTGATCAACACGACCTCTGGACTCTGCAGTTATCATAAATACATGCCAGTTGCCAAGCATCCAAATTTTGATCACATGACCATGGGGATGCCACAATGGTCATAAGTGTGAAAAACGATCATAAGTTACGTTTTTCAGTACCATTGTTATTTCAAATAGTCATTAAATGAATGGTTGTAAATCAGGTAAGTACCAATGCCCATTCTCCACGATTGGTGGAGACAGCAGTCACATAGGGTCATACCCAAGCTAGTCCCTAATTAAGGGAGGAATCCGGTCCCCGTGGAGGAGGAGTCCAGAGAATGGACTTGCTGTAAAACCCTCCTTCCAAAGGCCACTTCAGCTGAAGCAAACCGGTCTATCTTGTAATGACAGATAAAGGAAATGGGAGAAGTCCAAGTGGCCGCCCTACAAATTTCCTCCACTGACGCCTGAGTAGCCCAGGCAGCTGATGTGGCCGCACTACAAATTTCCTCCACTGACGCCTGAATAGCCCAGACAACTGACGTGGCCGCACTACAAATTTCCTCCACTGACGCCTGAGTAGCCCAGGCAACTGACGTGGCCGCACTACGAGTGGAATGAGTGGTTATACCCTGTGGAGGAATGAGATCATTGGCTCTGTAAGCTTTAGAGATACAGGCTCTAAACCAGCAACCTATGGTGGAAGAGGAGACTTTAGAACCCAGGGAAGCTGGCTGAAAAGAAACTAGCAAGGCTTCAGAACGCCTGAACATACCTGAACTTTTGATATAGATACATAAATCCCTGTGAAGGTCTAGGAAATGCCACTTTTTTTCTAACCCATGAGAAGGATTGGGACAAAAATTAGGGAGAATCAGTTCCTGAACCTTATGAAAGGCTAACTTTGGGCATAAATGTTGGATCTAGACGGAGAACGACCCTATCTGCATGAAATATACAAAGGTCGCTTCTAATCGACAGAGCTGCGATTTCAGAGATTCATCTTGCCGACGTCACTGTGATCAGGAAGCAGACCTTGAGCGTGAGATATTGAAGAGATACGGTCCACAATGGCTCGAACGGAGCCCTGATCAGAAAGTCTAAAACTTTGGTTGTCCCAGGTTAGGTATCTGTGAACAGTCGGAGGACGAATATTGATCGCTCCACAGAGAAACCGACGTATATGTGGAAGATGAGAGTTGGGCTCACTTGTGGGTAGAGTCAAGACTATAGAGAGGACTGCCACCTGATGCCTTAACGTGTTTGGCGAAAGACCTTTGGTGAGGCCCTGTTGGAGAAAGTCTAACACAGTCTGACTAATCTTGAGCGGAGATGAGCAGCCACCACTGCTAGCACTTTTGTGAATACCCTTGGGGCTGATGACAGCCAGAAGGGGAGGGCCCGGTATCGGTAATGATTTCCCTTGTACTCGAATTGAAGGAACTGCCTGTGTTCGCGGAGAATGGGAATATGAAGATATGCCTCCATGAGGTCCACCGAGGAGAGGAAGTCACCCTTGCAGACGCTCTCCAGGATGGACTGCAGGGAGTGCATCTTAAACCATCAATAAAGGACATATCGATTCAAGATTTTCAGATCCAGAATTGGTCTCTATCCCCCTGAGGCCTTTGGAACCACAAACAGCCGGGAGTAAAATCCCATACGTTCCTGGCCCTTAGGAACAGCTTGGATGGCCCTGATCTGAAGAAGATGGCAAATGGCCTGTTAAACCAACTGTCTCTTGAGACTGTCCTGAGACACTGGGCAAGGGACAAAATGCCTCGGGGGAATGGAGAAAAAGTCCAGGGTCACACCCCATCTGATGGTCTGCACGACCCAAGCATCTGTTGTTATGTCCTCCCATCAGTCCGCAAACAACGTCAGTCGGCTCCCTATAGGAAGATCCTCCAGACAGTTACTTCTCATGTCTGTAGGATCGATTGAAGCCCCCTCTAAAGGATTCCCTAGGAGGATATCGTTGGAAGGTCCTATTGGACCTATCCTGCTGTTGGTTGGACCCCTGCCTAGAGAGTGAATGACACTGCAGACAGGAGTTGGAGAAACCCCCATCCTTCCCTCGAAAGGGCTGGCGTCTATAGAGGGTAGAGGGATTTCTATTGTCTGCCTTGCGGAAAGTTGATTGGAGGACCTTACGCTTGTCCTTTGACTCCACTAATAAAGGGTTCCAAAGGGGCCCCAAACAGATTAACCCCCAAAAAGGGAGATGAAGTCAGATGCCACTTGTGTCTGGCATCGGCTTGCCAATTTTTTAGCCACAGTAATCGTCTAGAAGTGACCGGAGAAGCAATGGCTTTTGAGGCAAAGTGAGCTGCGTTAGGCGCAGCATCTGCAGAAAACTCTCTACCACCTCCTTCTCAATGGTAGGTTCTAGGAAAAGAAGATCCTCAGAATCCCCAGTGTCAGAGGCTGCAGGCTTAGGATCAGGGGTAGGCTTAAAACCAGCAATCTTCTTTGCCTTAAACAGCAAGGACCAGAAAAGAGCCGGTTTGAACAATCCCACAAAAGCTGGTTGGTCAGGAGCCAGATCCTCGTCCTCAGAGAGGTCAGAATCTTGGGGGGGGGGGTGGTGCTCATCCTCATCCCCTGCTGTGGCAGACCTCGAAGTCGAAGAATCAGCAGTATCCTTACTAGAAGAGTGTTTCTTTTTATTCTTGGATTTAGACCCTTCCGATTTAGATTTAGAGCTGTGGCCAGAAAATCTCTTCCGTTTGAGACCCGCAGCTATCCCCTTTTCAATGCTGAAGAGATAATGGCAGCTACATCAGTGGCAATAGTAGATGTGGTAGCAGAAGTTGGTTCAAACCCCAAAAGTCCTGGGGAAGAGGAAGCCTGATCTGCCACCTGAGAAGGGCCTGCATCCTCTAATGAATCATCCTCACTTTGAGGAGAATCAAAAACCCCTGTACCATCCCCTATCTGAGAAGGAGAACTAGGTTCAGAAAGAGAATCCTCTGAACCAGAAGAAAGACCCACAGGAGGAGGGTTACCAGGAGAGACAGGGATCACCTGGAAAGGGTGAGGGCTCTCACTGCCATCTTGTGTGCGCTTGCTGGGAGCTGTTGTGCAATGAGGACTTGAGCTGCCCCTTTCCCCCTTTTCTTGCTATCCTAGGAGCCTTTGCAGGGAGCTCCTCAGCTGCCTCAGCTGCAACACTTTTTCTAGAACTCTGAGTTGATAAAGAGCCAGCAGTAGGGCTCTCTGGTGGAGAGGGCTTGGGAGAGATTACTGCCTCATCTCCTGTGCTGGAAGCCATCAATAGAAGTCAAGCAGAAACAGCCACCCTCAAGGTAAATGCTGCAAAAGAGCCCTGTTACCGACCATTGGCTTCAAAATGGCGCTCACTGCTCTTCGCGCCAAAATCAACTGTCACACACTCTCCGCTGGCTTGAAATGGCGCCTGCTGCAATCTCTGAGGAAAACAGCAATCTTCCTGAGAGCTTTGCAACCCCAGCGCTGTGTTCCTGACAACAACCGCAAGGTTACCACCCTTGGGCTTTTCACTGGGGCAACTTCCAGCAATCCGATTGAAAGATAAGCGTCGGAGCCACTTCACTGCTTAATGCAAGCCTTCGACGATCGCTGACAGGAAAAAAAGCCTCCGTCGCTTTAAAAAGGCTGTCCCAGCCGCGTGGCTAGCTCCATGGCGAGGGACAAAGCCCCTTGCTTAATGTAAGCACTCCTTCTGCCTGCAAGATCTTAAGAATGGCAGGGGTTGAAATATGAAAGTTTTAGAAATAGCCAATTAGTAAGAAAGAACAATATAATCAGAGAAATACAACTACACGTCCAGCCCAGAACTGCCTGAGTCTAAAAAGCTGGGGAAGAGTAGCAAGGAGGAAGGCTTTATAATCTGTAGACTCAGCCCTACTGGTTACTGGACAGAGTGAATCCTATGTGACTGCTGTCTTCACCAATCGTGGAGAATGTAAAGTTTGTTTGATCAAAGTTAAAACAAAGTATAGTGATACCTCAGTACTCAACTGTTTTGAAATTCATTGAATTTGGTACTTAATGAATTTTGACAAGAAAAATTTCTCTCAGTACTTGTTTGTTTGATACTTGATACACAAATTAGAACTTGTGTCAGATACACAAAGTGTCAGATTTTCCCCCCTCATCAATATGGGTAAAGTGGGCTAAATGCAAAATAGACTAATCAGTTCTCAGAATGATATTGAGATAGTTTGGTCATACAAGCAATGAATGAAACTCAAATTGCAAAACAAATACAGGTAACACTTGACTCTTCACTTAGCCATCATTCAAAATTATAACCTATCTGAAAAAAGAGACTTATGACCTGGATCCATAGTTATGATGGTCGCAACCCAACCCTATGGTCAATTGGCAACATAGCAGCATACAGCATCATTTGGAGCATCCTGCAAATGAGGTCCTATGATCTCATTTTATGATAGTTTTGTCAAAAACCCATAGTTATTTCCAGTTTTCATCAAAATTACACCCAGAGCAAACTTATTTCCAAATAAATATGAATAGAATTAGTTTTACAGTTAAGAAGCATAGCAAGCAGAGCTCTGCGGGGCTTCATATTTCATTTGTCTTTCTGGAAATGCAGGAACATAGTTTTGTGATTTAAAGCATACTGTTCAAGCAAGCAAAATGTGCATCTGATTTAAAGAGTTACAGACAAATGCTACATTGGTGTTCTGCATATTCCAAACCATCTTTCTGAAATGGATCCAAATTCATTTGATTTAAGAAGAAAATATGAACATCTTAATTTATTTCCAACAGTAAATCCTTCAAAAATTAGTTTAAGTATAAAGTACTTAAATCTGAAATGTTAATTCAAATGTTAAAATAACTATTAATTTGCAGACGTACCTCCCCGTGGTTGAAAAAGTAGCATGCCACTGTAAGTAGCCCTCCAAATCTGTTCCCACTGTGAAGGGAGAGAAAGGAGGGAAGAGTAATAAAATTTTCTTTTTCAGACAAGCTTAAGTGACAAAATAATAATAATTTCATTTTATAAATAATCTGCTTCAAAATTTTAGATAAGTAAAAAAGCTAAGTGATTTCATGATCCTCCCTCCCAACAGTGCTTGGAGGCTGTTAAGGTCTGGATGGTGAGCAACTGGCTAAAACTGATCTTAAGCAGGACAGAATAGCTCTGAGTTTGTGACTTCTTGATCCATGGAGAATTGCCACCTTTGGTTTTGGATGAAGTGGCATTACCCCAAACAGATCCAGTGCATAATCTGGGGATTCTCCTGGACTCAAAACTTCTGCTTAAGGAGCAGGTTATGGCCAGGACAGGACAGCCTCTGTGTAACTATGGGTTGTATGCCAATTATGCCTTTTCTTGGACCAACAATCCCTGCTTCACATCCTAGTCATCTCCTGGCTTGACTATTGCAACACACTCTCTACGTGAGGCTGACCTTGAAAAACATCCGGAAGCTCCCATTGGTTCAAAATGCAGCAGTCAAATGGTTTTAGGCACCTCTCCTGCAGGAGCTGCATTAACTGCTGATTTGCTTCTAGTGCAATTCAAGGTGCTGGTTGTCACCTTTCAAGTCCTTTATAGCTTGGGATCAGGTTATTTGTTCCCAGTTACAGTCACCTCAGGCACTAGACAAGTAGGCGCGGATTGTTGAGATTCCTATTTCCTAAGGAGATATATCTGACAGCACCCAGAAGAAAGGCCTTTTTTGTCATAGCTCCCTTCCTTTGGAACATCATTCCTGGAGAGATTAGACTGGTCTTCATTTTGAGACAGTGTCACAAGGCCCTGAAGACTGGTTCTGCCAACAAGCCTGAAGAATCCACAGTGGAATGGGGCACATCCAGTGGCTCATTTAATTGCCTGTTGTTACCAGTGGGTAGGGGGTTATTGTTTTTATCCTTTATATTGGGTGTTTATTGTTTGTAAGCTGCCCAGAGTCACTGACAGTTAATGGGTGGCCAAATAAATCCAACGAACAAATAAACAAGTATTCATAATATACAACTGATCATATTATGAAGTTAAAAAAAGATGTTTTAGGAAAACAGGTGCAGCTTTCAGTACCTTCTTTAAGAAGATGCATTTTTTCCTGGATTAAAAAGTAAGTCTTGTGCTCCCAGGGAAAGACATGCTTGAGTTATAGAGGTACTCGATAGATTTGATTCACTGTTACTTCCACCTAATTCAAACATGTATTTTCCTGGCTATCATGTGAACCCATGAAAAGTATCTGTTTATTACAGGTAGAAGAAATATTGAAACAACTGAAAATTCTATAGCTTGTAAATTACAGGTACACAGGGTCCTCCATTCACAACAATTAAGAACAAAATTTCTAGTGTAATCAGACCTGAATTTATGGCAGCTGTTAGGCAAATCACGCAGTAGCATTTGCATTTCTCCATGGCCACTCACAAACCCTGCCAGGTAGTTGCCACCCCAAGCACCACTGTATTTGCACTTTATCTTCTTAGTCACCTGCACATCCCTCTTTACATGTCTGAAAGCCTGTTTTCAAATCATTTGGGACATATAAATTCCTGCTGGCTTCACCATTGATTTTGGTTGTTGGAAGACAGCAGAAAGTTGCAACAAGGTCCTTGCTTATATTTACAATGTAAATGGAGACAGCAGGTATTGTTGTTGCTAAGTGAGGTGGTCACACAACATTATGGTTTATAACTGCATCACTTGGTGATAGATAATCTAGTCCCAATTAAAATCATTAAATAAGGTCTAGCTGTACTTTTACATGTGAATAGAACAGAAATATTCTGCAAAGTAGCTTATAAAACTCGAATGACTTTTACAAATCTGGATCACTAATTTATAAAGTAGAACTAAGAGAAATGAAGGGAAGTTTCAATCATTGTATTGCATGTATTAATTTTTTAATTATCCACAACAATATTTTCTGTGGAATACATTTATTTCTGCATATTGCATTAAATAAACTTATTTTTAATGCATTATTTAAATAATTCAATCTTTATTTAAAGAAAGGTTTTTTTCTTACACATATAATGGTGAGGCCTGAGTCACATGCTGAATCTAAATGCAGGAAGGTTCATGATCGTCAAAAAGAAAAACATTTTACACAGTATAGAATTAGCTACAAGCAACAGTCACTATATGAGAGAGAATACTAAAAAATGGACTTATTTAGCAAGACTTTCTTATATTATTAAACTAAACTGAGAATAAAAACTAGCACTCTTTATTTCTCATTATTGCATGCACTCAGACAATGTGTTTTGATATCATTCTGCATTTTAAAGTAGTAGTACATGCTGCCTCATCCTACAATAGCATCTAAAAGCTGCAAGCTGCAAGAGATCTGATATGATAACTCTGAGAGAATAGAAGTAAATGGTGATACAATGGTGATACAAGATCTTTCTTTCTTTCTCTCTTTCTTTCCTTCCTTCCTTCCTTCTTTTCTTTCTTTCATCTCTATCTATCTATCTATCTCTCTATCTATCATCTATCTCTGTCAATTTTTTATATTATCCATCACAGTTGCATGACTCTGGGCAGTTTACAAATAAAATTATAAAATCATAGGGAAAAAATTAACAAAATGAAAATGGTTTAAAAGAAAAAAAATGCACAGTTAAAAGGCAGTGGGAATGCCTTAAATCCATCAATCAACCCAAGAGTTAGATGACATTACGAAAAACAGTATACAATGGGCATTTAGAATCAACAAATTATTTTTAAAGAAAAGGATAGATATTTGAATTTTCTTTCTATAGTATTACATTTTAGTGCAACCATTGAATAAAAGTCTTTATTCTGGCCACATATTAGAATCATGACCTACAATTCAGAAGCAAAATAATGAATTTATGAATCTAAAAACATAAACACTTTTCCTTGTTAACGCTTATCTTTGATAAAACATGTCCTCTCAGAAATTTTATCTTGACTACCTCTATGAGTGTAGACATACCGTATTTTTCAGAGTATAAAACGCAGCCACCCCCCCACCCCACCCCCCAAAAAGAGGCTGAAAATTTGGTTGCTTCTTATACTCATGATTGTAGCTTTTTGGAAGCTTTTTTCAACCCTAATGAGATGCTAACAAGTGAAGCAATTGCTTCACTCCTTAGCACCTCATTAAGGCTGGAAAAAAACTTCCAATATTTTTAGTGCAGCATACTGTTGGAAAAATTTCCCAGTTCATTCCAGCTGGGTGAAACCCAGGACAAAATATTTGAAGACTGCCTTAAGAGGTACTTCTTTTGTCCTTTTTGTTTCTATTTTTGGAAGATAATTCTCTCAAGGGCAAGGCAGAGAGTTCCTGTGACTATGTGATTTCTATTCTTTTGGGGATTTAAGGGCAAGGCAGGGATTTTTCCTATGGGCTATCTGAGATTTCTCAATGGTTTCCTTCAGGCAAACGCTGGGCTGGTTTGTTGATTCAGCTTTGTTACATTTTTACTGGGTGTTAAATGCTTTTGGCTGAATGCCCAGACATCTAGTTAAGCTTATTAAGTTTCCCGGCTGCCTAAGGAAAGAAAAAAAACTAGCAAAAAGTGTTATTTTATTATACTATTTTGTTGCTTGCTTTTCTGATGTTATGGAAACAAAAATGAATGCCTAGTAGGCAGAATTTTTTTCCCCTACTTTAAGGTGCATCTTATACTGTGTTGCGTTTTATAGTCCAAAAAATATGTTATATAATCTCTATCATAACATAAACATCGAACTACCAGTTATTTTCCGTGTTTCCCCGACCCCTGAAATAAGCGCTTGGCCTTATTTTTGGGGAGGTCTTACTATTTTTGAGGTGCAGGAGGCAGCGAGCGTGGTCACCTCATGACTGCTGCTGTGTTGCAATATTTTCAGGGAGGGCTCATTTTCGGAGGAGAGCTTATTTTAGCGCATGCACTCAAAAGCCCGATTGGGCTTATTATCCGTGAAGGTCTTATTTTCAGAGAAACAGGGTAGCACATTTCAAAATACATTTCAAAACAAAAGTAAAAGCCAGAAATCAGCAAAACAGTGGCAAAATCAGTCATATGACTTTGGAACATTGCAAATGACCATAAAACTGAGCTGATTGCCAGGCATCCATAATGAGATGAGCAAAGGGGAGGGGCAACCATCATAACTTCAAAAAGGATCCTAAGTAATTTTTTTAAAGTTTTTTATTTTTATTTTTCAAAACAGGCACAACACAAAAAAATCCTTTTTCTTTACATACTGTAGAAGTAAGTAAGTAAGATCTTTATTACGGTCAAAGACCAGCAATATACATTTGTCTTTACACTATAT